ACATTATGTGGTTAGACTGGTGTGATAGGCACGTCTTGCCGGGCGTGCCAATTTTCGTGTTGTTGTCGGATTTTTGAGTTTGTAGGTTTCTACTTACGGCAAGCGCCGGTAATCAATTCGTGCGTTGATTCAAAAGAGGAGTTGGTTGTGTTATATTATTGCGCGTATCGTTGACGACCCCATGGCCCGATATTTTGAGCTTTTACGCATAAGTGCATCTTCGTCGAGTTTATGAATTCACGGTTATTATTTCTCCGAGATGCATACACATGGCTTTTATTTGGAGCCGATGGATGGGACTTTCTTATACTTTGCATATTATATACCCGAGATTTTGAGCTTTAACGTATACGTGTGTCTTCGTCGAGTTCATGGAAGCACGGATATCATTTCTTCGAGACACATACATATGGCCCGTATGGTTTTATTGGTTCAATGCCCAACCGTTCGGATGGCTTCATTTTGAGCTCGATGGCTTTTGGATTATTTTCTCTATTCCCACCGGACGAACACCATTAGACACTCGGTGGTGCACCACCGTGTAGAGTACGCATTTTCTTTTCCTATTTTCTTTTTCTTTAGTTGTTTCTTGTGTGTTCTTGTGTTTGTTTTCTTTTTGTGTGTTCGTTTATTGAGTTTCGTTTTGTTTTTCCCATGAGCTTGTGTGATTATGTGCTTGATCCTATGCTTTTTGGTCAAGCAATGAGGACTTTGCTTTGTTTTAAGTGTGGGGGAGGGGTTTTCGTGATTACGCATGTTCGGGTGATATTTGTTTCGTTTTTTGTGCTTTATTTTTCGTTTAGTTGTGTCTTGGACCGGTTTTGTTCGAGTTTATGTGTGTTTGTGTCATCTCTCCCGCATGAAACTTGATGTTTGTTTGAGAGTCGAAATAGCTAAGTGGTGAGTCGAGATTGTTGATTAGTTTCACTATTAGTGTTCATGCTTGATGTACTTGATGAATTTGACGGTTTTCTTAAATTGATTGATGATTCATTGACATTGGAACCCGCATGTGGATTCACGAAATTGTTTTGTCCCTTGTTTGTTCTCGATTGATTGTCTTGAGGCATGCTTTCCTTATGTTCGATTATCATTGTAAACGTGTTATCTATGCACTTGTGGTACGTCTTGATGATTATTGATGTTAATGTATTGTATTCTCGATGTGTTCTTGTGTGCCTCTCCCTAAAAAAAAAAAAAAAAAAAAGAGAGAGAAAAAGAAAAAGAATGGGAGTTGGCTTATTGGTTCTTGGTTATTATGTTACATGTTTAGTGGACCATTTGTAGTTTTTGCACGTTCATGTAGAATAAGGGAGTTTTGTCTCGAGTTATCATGTGTAGAATGACTTGGGACGGGTTTTTGTTTCGTTTGGATTCACTTGTGGGAACTGTGTTTTCGGATTGGATTTTGATTTTGGGAATAACTGGATGATAATGAGAGTTTCATTTCGCATGCTCGTTAATTTTGGCCTTCTCGATTTTTCTTTTCGAGCTACTTGTTATTTTGTTTGCTTGAGGACAAGCAAAGAGTTAAGTGTGGGGGAGTTGTTTGTTAAGGTTTTGTGCTTATTTTCTTGTGTTTTATGTGGTTAGTCGAGTCATTTTTAGGTTCGGTTTTGAGTCAACCGGTCCATTTTATCGTATTTTATGTGTTTTTTGCTTTCGTTATGTGTTTTAGTTCTTTTCCATGTTTTCGCGTCTCTTTGGTGTGTTGTGTAGGTCCATATCACGATTCCGGGAAGACGAGTCATTTGTGCCATTTTCGAGCTATTTCGAACCACCCTAACCATCAAAGACCCAA